CTGCAGATGCTCAAGTGCTTATATAAAATGGTGTGACATTTGCATGTAACCTATCACATTCTCCTGTGTGCTTTAAACTTTCTCTCCATTGCTTACCACACCTAAAGCTGTAGAAAAGCTCTGCAAATGAGCCTTACACTGTGCTTCTCTGGCAAAAAGAAACAGATCTGTATGTGTTCGGTTCAGAGGAACATTTTTTTTTCCTGAATATTTTCAATCTGACATCGTTAAATCCACAGTTGTGAAAGCACAGGCATGGAAGGCTGCTGTGCACACCCAGGACAGGAAATCACTGCTGTTTTTTAAGCTTCTGTGTGTGCTGCAGGATTTTCCTGCCAAACAGCATTCCAAGCTGTAGCTCTGTAAGGAAGCTTTACAACTCTAGTCTATAGATGAAGCATCTTCCGTCTGGGATGTGGATTCACTGCATCAAGTGCCTACGGTATGAGCTTGAGGATCTGAGTTCCAGTCCCTAGTACCCTGTAAAAAGCTGGGGGCAGTGATGTATGTCTGTGACTCCAGCACTGAGGGGTAGGGGACAGGGACAGGAGGGTGCCTAGAGCTCATGGAGACAGCTTAGTAAACTTTCTGAGTTCCAAGTTTACTGAGAAATTCTGTCTTAAAAATCTAGTGGAAAGCTGTCTTAAGAAAACATCTGGTGTCTTCCTGTGGCTTCCACACATACATACCGAGAGGGGGGGAGTGGGGGGGGGAAGACTCTTTCAATGAGGATGAAGTCAGAGTTATGCAGAAAGCAACAAACTGAAAATTCAGAGCTCCAAGGCCAAAGGTGATAATTTTCTGCTTTCAATGATTTAATCCAGCATTGAATCTCTTTATAACAAAAGACAAAACTGATGGGATTGTCTCAGCAGATTCACCTTTCTTAATGTCAAGAATAAAAGGAAAATGTATATAGTATGAAGTATATACAAACAAAATTGTTGAGTGTTGTGCTAAGACCCATTGCCAGAATGCTCTAGCATTTCTTCCAACCCAAGCAAGGCTCCCACCTTGGCAGGATTTCCCAGGAGAGAGCTCTCAGCCTCACTGCTTCAAGTTACACACTGTGGACCCACAGGAACAGAACAAGCTCTTAACATCATAGTCAGGTTTCAAGGGTGAGTAGTGGAGAGAGGAACATTTGCTGGTGGCCTTTGAGGTATCACTGTGGTTGTTTATCTCTCTCTCTTCAGCACCATCCTATTTATACACATGCAGAGTTTGCATAATACCCTTTACTGCCCAAACGGTATCTGAGGCTGTCTGTGTCATTATACTCAACATCTTGGCTTCTGGCCCCTCTGTGCAGACACAGTGTAGACAGCAGGCTAGCAACCTCAAATAGCCTGCACTTGCAACTTGCCTATGCTTATACACACATCCATGTCCTGTCTCCAGCCACCTCACCCCAAAGAATAAATATCTATATTTCTTCCTGGTGATGTTTTATCAGAAATGATGTTATTCTATTAACAGGATTTCAGTAGAGATTTTTGCTATTTATCATCATGACAGTGCATATGTTTGGCATATTCTCGTACACATTTGTGCAGGGGCTTGAGCCCTTGCACACATGTAAAAAGGCTGATCGACACTAACTACCTATTTCCTTGAGATAGGATCTTTCACTGAACCCAGAGCTCACTGCCATTCAGCAGGGTTGATGGCCAGCAAACGCCCAGCAATCATTCTGCCCTTCCTAGAGGGCTTCTGGCTATGTACAGCAACACCCAGATTTTATATGAAACCTGGCCTTCCTGCACACTCAGGAAACTCTTCTTCAGTTAAACACCTCCCCAGCCTAATCCTTGCCTTCATGCACAGGGCTGCGACAGCTTGCAGAATTTTCACTCAAGTCTCCCATCTTTATTAAATACCAGCTGTGTGCTTGTGCCCAATGGATTTTTCAGCATATATGTAATTCTTTTTTTACACATATGTATGTGAGGCTCAACCTCCTTTTTGAATTCTGGCACTGAAAGCACCCTTTAGTTTGGAACATGTGAAAATGAATATTTGTTTGAAGTGAACCCTGCTGGAGACAAGAGTAGTGTACTGCCCAGTCCCTATATTCCTTCTGTCTCAAGTCCTTAGTGGGGTAAAGTTCCAAGGATGGAGACCAGCTACTTCTGTGAGAATCTCCCCCAACACATTCTTTCTAAGGGATCCTCTAGTGTGTCATCATAGTCATCAGAGTGCAGACAGGGACTGATGGCTGACTGAGGGCCTCCCTTCTATAGCAAAGCTTTCAAAGCATTCTCTGTGGTCTAGAGACAGACTCCTGGGTGCTAAGGTCCAGGGAAAGTGAGGGCAGAACCCCAAAAATGTTCATTATAGCTTGGATGGGCATTGCTCTGGGTCATATTCTAGCATACCCCAAAACATGAAAATGACATCTTTAAAAAAAATCATGTTTTTCAAGGGCTGGAAGAAAAGAGAGGAGGAGACAGGAGAAGGGTGTGTACTGAAACAGGCTTCTATCATCAGTTTCCACTCTGAGGTAATCTGCTAGATGCCCCTCCTCCAGGTACTCAAGTGGAGGCAGTTGCCAATAACCCTTTATTCCCAGAAAATAAAAACCAGTTTGCAAATGTCAAGGTGAAAAGTGAAATCAGCTGAATAAGCAAACAGCCATCAGGGGCCACTCAGCCTTGGAAGCCCCGTGTGTAACCCACAGCTCTGTGGAACTGTACATTACTCCTCTGCTTGGAAAGCCCAGCCATTTCTAGGAGAGACAAATCGATTAGAGGCCACCTTTTGTGAAAGCGATGTTATCATTGAGGCTGTAATTTATGCAAAGAAATTCTGTGGCTAGGGATGATTAAATTAGAGTCTACAATGCAGGGATTTCTACAGCATGGTCCCCCTCGGGGGTTCTCACTTTTATCTACATCGAGATCAAGTCTGAAAATTTGGTGCATATGGTTTGGGATCTGAAAAAAAAAAAAAAAACGACCGCTTCCCCATGTCCCTTTTTATTTTGGAGGGAACACAACCACGGCTCAGGAAGCCAACACAGCTTTGGAGGCTAAGGCATCGAATTTAAAAAAAAAAAAAAAAAAAAAAAAAAAACCAGCCAGAGAGGGCTTTTCTTGAGACTTCCAGGAATGAAGCCACAATCCCACTCTATTTCAAATGACAGCATTTAATGTATTAAAAAAAAAAATTCCCACTCTCATATATGGAGAGGCTACCAAACCGAGCTCCTTGCACAATTGCATGAGATGGAACAAGGATGACCTGGACCATATCTTCACTGTAGCTGTGATCTCATGGGCATCCCCATCCCATTTCGATAGAATCCACTATCTTGGCCTGCTGTTTGGATAATGGTAGGAGGGAGGCACAAACAAGCCTACAGGGCAGAGCTCCCGGTGCTGAAGGCACAGCCCCACAGTTTCTCTCTCTCTCTCTCTC